GTATTTACTGTTATTTACACTTACTGCGATGGTGTTGTGTTTATTATGTTGCTCTCCTTTTGCTTGTTTACTCTTTTTTATCTCTTAACCAGTGATCCAGGGGATTTTTTTTTTGTTAAGTGCCCTTTCTTACTGTCCCTCTTCCCCTTTGTTTTTCTTTCCTTCCTTCACTTTCTTTCTTTCTTTCTTTCTTTCTTTCTTTCTTTCTTTCTCCCTTTTCTATCCCCCAGTCATGTCTGTCCCGACTAACAACTGAAAATAAAATAGAACAAATAAATAATAACAACAAGGTCAATCAAATGGACCAACACAGCAAGGCCGTGATGATCCACTTGGTAAAGTAAATCCATTGGGCATCTTTCTTGGCCTTCAGACAATAATTCTGATAGCTAACGAACCAAATGGGACAGGCAAAAAAAAATAAAAAAAATAATGGACTATCATTTTCGGGATCACAGGCAGCCCAGAGACGATGGCTCCCAGGCTTCCCCGCACTACATAACCCCAAATTCTAGTGGTGTATCCCCCAGAAGACTTTCGGGAATGAAGAGGATGATGAACAGCTGATGCAACTCGCCCAAGCATATGTCTCTCCATTATAGAAAAGAATTGCCACCGGTAAATGTTTATAATGGGGCAAGAGGGTACACTTTATTGAAGCATGTATACTGAAGCCAAAAGATAATGGCCAGCAATAAAGGTGGGGATATAGGCAGACAATTTAAAGATTTCCTGCCAAGACTGCTTGTCAAACCTCCTTTTCAGTCTAGCATTATATACAAGCCAATATTGACTCTCAAGTGGAAATGATTATTTTTTTCTTTTCTTTTTTTACCAGAATTTGGAGGCTCAACTCAACATTCCCCTGGTTGGGGGAGCAACCCTCCACACCAGCTTATTAATCGACCAAAGACCCAGCCAGAGTTTTAATTCATTTGAAAACTTGATACTTATCCTTTTACCCCTTAGCTGGAACACTCTGCTTTCTAAATGGTAAAGGACTAGTTCTTGTATAGTGCTTTTCTACTCTAACTGACAACTCAAAGCATTTTACACAAGTTGCCTAATTCACACAAGCACTTTTTCAATGCTTTGTGTCTAACATTCATATTCCACACGCTCCATCAGAGATCAACTTGGAGTTAGTATTTTGCTCAAGGATATTTGGCATGTAGACCAGAGCAGACTGGGATCGAACCACCAACAGGTTTGTAGGTAGTTGTAACTTGCTTAGGGGAATATGAGGGAGGAATGCCAAATAAAGAGGAGCAGAAAGGGCTCCGACGTAACAATATGCCTCTCTTTCCAGTAAAGATGAGGATTATGGAGCTCAAACCAAGGTTAATCTAACAGGATTGCTAGGAGAATGAAACACAAGAATTACAAATTCTCCCTCATCTCTATTCACCATTACAGTGATCTCAAAACTGGCAATGGCTTAATTTTTTTTTCAACATGAAAAAGATCCAAAACACACAGCCAGACCAAAAAAAACTATATTGGGGTGGCTCAGGTGGTAGAGCAGATCAGCTCCTGACTCTAAGGTTGGTGGTTCGATC